TGAGCTTTTTGCAAACGTACTCAATTCCTTCTCTCTTGAGTACTGTAATTTTTATAGAGGTTGTGAACTATTAGTGTTACGATGCAGAAAGATGCATGAATGATGACTAGATAATTATTCCCTAAGATTAGGAACACTGTAGGGTCAGCCTCCCTGTTATCACTTCACGTTTGCTTATTTAAGTGAATAACAACACTAATGAATTTGTAGATCAACAAGTATGCACAGTCTAATTTGCTTGCATTTAGAGTAACCTCAGCTTCTTGAAGAATTCCTTATCTATAGGAGATTGGTACAAAATCTGATGATAGGCCCATGGATATCAATGAGGCTGTGGATCTTTCCATCCAGTATTTCTAACAGTGAGCTTATTCCCTTTGGATATCTCATAAGTGCAGCAGAAATTCGGAGTGGTATATGTGAGACAGACCTCACCTAATTCTAGACTTCATCTCTCTACAGTCATCTAAAAACGGTCGTACAAAAGATGGATATTTTTCTCCACTGATGAGTAGCTAACAAGTATAGAAATCTACACAAGTGTCTACACCTACTGGTTAACACTACTTAACCTGCTGGTAGTGTTAACCAGTAGGTGTTAACACCTATCATGTAGACATTTATATTTATATTAGCTAAATCTTATCTTAAATGTATTATTATTTTTTTATTTCTAGAATAGATTAACAAATATAGTAAAGCTACAATTTCTGAGAGAACAGATTCTAAAAAACAGCTGAAGTCTGCATTGTTTACAGATAATTTAGCATCTTGCAGCTGGCCAAGTGTATGCTTGGCTGATGAAATGAGAGAGAATATTTCCCATTCTTGATTCAAATTCTTGAGCTATATGACTTCATCACAGATGTGGATACATTTCGGGGAAGTTCATCCTGCAATGACCATGGCTATTTATCAGTCAAAAGGGTCATCAACAAACCCAGTTAGTTACTAGTGCACTATTGTTGTTTCTCGAATCTTTTACCAAAGGAACTGAAGCTTACGAAAATGTGCTTAGTGAAAACCTTTCCTGTGCCTGTTTATGTATGAGTGTTTTAGTTTATCTAATCCATCGAATCACCTTGAGAATTGGAAGAGAGTTTCAGCTTTTGCAGCTTAAACTTTGATATAAGTCAGCCGCAGGTCTAACTATTTGTTTGCCTTAACATGGCAGTCATTCAAAATCATTCACTGTATAAAAATCTTTACATGTTCATGCAGTTTTTTACCAGTGACTTTCACTCAGCGTTTTAATGGGATTCAGCAGCCCCTTAAATGTAGACAGTTTTCTATTGGCAGTGTGAGGCTTCAGCCAAGATAAAGCAATGGAACCTCGCAGGAAAGTGGTTTCAGCATCTCCTAGGCTGTCTTGAGGTAGATGGAGTTGCTGTGGGGTGTATTGTTCATATCCAGCAGCTTGATTAAACTCCAAATGCTAAAACTTGTCCTAGTAATACTGCAAATGCCTTTCAAAGAGCCATTAGATCACAGATGCCAGATTTACACAAGTGCATAACAACCCTCAGGAAATCCAAAACATCTGGCAAATAGGATCTAAAATGTAATTTTGTCTGTTTCTGATGCATCCACTGAGATGTGGCTCCTCTGAGTTTGCTTGTGAGGTTTGCTGTGGGTCTGCAGCAATTACAGCAATACCTCTTAATGCCCAGCACTGTGCTCTGAGCAATGTTGTATGTCAGTGCACTCACTTTGCCTTGCTGCATTAATTGTTTCATAGCAATGCAGTGATGACAAGTATGTCAGGCAGCAGCTTCCATGTTCCAAGTGAGACAATCCAAAACTGTTTTGTTTTGCTGGTGAAATCACTGTGTTGCTATCAGGTTAAAAGGATCACAATGAATCTTACATAGCTTCATCCTTCTCTTCTTGTATCTGTACTTGTATCTGAACACTAAACTTTTGAGTAGAGAAGTAAAATGATTTAAAAATTTACATTATTAGTTTTCTATGAGTTAGTTTTTTTAACAATTAGAGTAAGTACACCTGGTGTCTTCAAGCATACAGTCAGGATCCTGTAAGGTGCATGAGATGTGTCTTTCCATACTGTTTTCTCATGTCTGATGCCTGTCTGAAACATTAGCCTCTTGTTTACCAGTTGACAAAATAAATAAATAAATAAATAAAATAAAAGAGCATCAGCCTTGCAAGGGAAAGAGTCCAGAGTTATACCACAGATGGGTACACCAGCACCTGTGGTTATCCCTCACACCCATGTCGCTTCACAGATTGTAGAGCCATTGTCCTCAAGCTTTTTACTGTGGTACCCTGCTGACACAATATGATATTTTGATTGCTTATTAAAGCCTCCTGTGACTGTGATTGTAGCAGGAGTGCACATAAATTGCACAACACACCGTTCATGTCAAAAGAATAAATAAAATCTATTTCAAAAGCTCTGTTTAAAACCTATTTAAAATCTCTGTTCATCATGTAGTGATGTCTACCTAACAAAACAAAAGATCTGTAATCTCAAGTAGTTTTGAAACATAGCATTTTAAGAGCTTTATCAACAAACACTGTTAATGGGACTTGGATGGCCATACCTCCAGCTAATTAGATTGTACAATGTTTGAATAGGTAGAGAATCATAGTTTGATTGTTAGTTTGAAAAGTACTGAGTATGCAATCACTTGGCTGAATAGTGCTTTTAAGAATATTCTGACCTTACATAAGTTTACCCAGTTTTCCATTATCATATTTAAGAATCACTGCAAATATTCACAGAAACCATGTTAGATGCCACAATCATTAGCCTGAGATTCTCTAATTACTTTACAACAGAACCCTGTCAGTCTTCACAAAAATGAAGACATCTGCCTACAGAATTTATTCAGATTTAACTTTGCACATAAGAGACTAACATAACCATAGAGCAGATTTGAATGTATATTTCTATCATGTATTCTTAAGATGAATTAATTATCTCAGGAAAAAAAAAATCTATTTTAAGATTCATTTCAAAGCTCATCTTTTTTCCCCATGTATTCCCATTACAGTCTGTGGCTACCGTAATGAACATCAAGGACATCTATATTGAATTTCAACATCAGAATTTAAATAAGATGTAAGGACACTCTCTTTTCCATAGCAAAGTACTCCATATGAACAATTCCTCACAACCAGTCCCCACACCAGACACACTTGCAGGTATTTGGGTTTTGCATCTGAGAATGCTAAACTACGAGTAGCAGAGAAAATCTCTCATGCAGCATATAAGGTAATAACAAAATATTAGAAGATATGAAGATCATGTTACTAAGCTTATCTACCTCTTTAATTTTGCCTTTGGCAACCAAGTTGCATTTTGAAATTAAAACAGTAAGAAGAACTGAAAATTAAAAAGCCAGTAGACTTTTTTTTTTTTTTTTTTTAATAAAACCAACAAAAAACAATCTATGTTCTGCTTCTTACATTTTATTATTTGTAAAATATGAATTACTTGTTAATTCATTAATACGGCATCAGAAACATCATGCCAACAGTAATACAAGACTTTGGGCAAATTACAGTGTTTTAAAAATAATACTTTTCACAACCTTCACACTTCCTACTTGCAAAGTCCTGCAGATTCCTACAGAAAAAGATTAGGAGGATTTATTCCAATAAACTATGATGGTCTGAATTGTTCCTTTGCAGTACCAGAACAAGGATGAAAGGAAATTTCCAGAAGAATCATGTGGGACTACTCCACCTACATTATTTGTGCTTATGTGTGTGTACATGTTTGCTCCCTGTACTGTAACAGAATATAAGGAACATTCTCTGCTGCTTTGCTCCATCCACAGTGAACTGTCTCAGGCTAGAAAATTCTCTGCATCTCCACGGTGACTCTGGCCAGCACGAACTGGGTTTTATGTGAAGATAACATGAATCCCAAACTACTATTTGTTCTATAACATGTTAGTGAGAAATGGATGGAAAATTATGTATAAGCCCTGATGTCTAACTAGTATGTGAGGAACAAGGACTGCTTGAGAGAGACTGTGCACAGTGACAGGGCTGTGTCGATGCAGGACGACAGTCTCCAGTAAGCAGCTGTAGCAGTGGGAATCCACATCAGATAAAATGAAGAAAAATCTTCACCATGAGAATGGTTGCAGGACAGGAGCCAGCAGAGGCTGTGGAATCTCTATCCTTCAGAATTCTCTATGCTCCTGTGGATGAAACCTTATCCAACCTCAAAGTTAGCACTACTTTGAGCAAATGGGCTCAAAGTGGCTGGGGACAATTCCACTTATTCTATCGTTCTGCCATTGTATTCTCCTGCAGGAGATAATTGCCGACTAGGAAACTGACTTCATCATCCTTCAAAAATGCTTCATCCATGCATAGACCCTAGAGACATTTAAGGCATTTTGCAATTTTTATCAATCTGTGGATATGAAAGTATTTCCAGCAGTGATCCAGATCTTAATAGCAGCTTTAGATCTCTTCAGAAGTTTCTTTTCTTCAGTTAGTTTTCACAGATTCTTTATTAGTAGTCCACAGATGCCTACGTCTCCATATGTCACACTGAAAACTCATTTTGATGTTCTAATGAAAACAAGGTTAGATCAGACTCGACTTTGATTGTTTTGCAAAGCTATCTTTTCTAAAGCCAGAATTTTTCCCTTAGTAGACTGTGCTCTCACTGCCTGTCCATGCAGAAATTCCCCTTGAGTAAATAGGCTAAAAACCAAAGAACATTATAACCAGATTTCATGTAGTAGAATGGAGAACATTTCTCAGTCTATTTCAATGTAGGAGAACGGAGAGATCTTTCTTCCCTTAAAATAGTGTGAAAAGGAAAAGATGAGCTACTTGGCAATTTGAGAAAAAATAAGAGGAATTTCTCTCTGAGAATTTATCTTTTCTTGCAGAGGAACTATTAGGCACCTACACAGCAACTGATATGGAAAAATGCATGTGTTTATGGACAGAGTGAATCTCAGAAATCACAAATCATTGTATTTCTTACATAAAAGAACCATCTTAATTACCTGTTTCCATTTTCCCATCTTGTGCTGCAGGCCCATCAGGAATTACACTCTTCACCTGAAGAAACTCATCTGGCTCATCCCCACCAATGATGGTAAATCCAAAACCCATGTTGCTTTTCTTAAGAGTGGTGCTGAGGAAAGTCCCCTTCAGCTGTGATGCATCACGGGTGAAGAGTGGTTTTTCTACATCAGTCAACACAAACAAGAAAGACAAAAGTTCTGATCTAGTCAAAATATGGCAGGGACAGCAGATAACAATACCAGCTGGCAGCATGTGACAGCGTATGAAAACAGAGGAAATAAAGAGTGCAGGCATTCCAGGAAAAAAAATATTTGTGAGTTTTTATATTAAAACAAAGCTTAAAACGTGTTTTAATCTATGGCAGATCAGCCGTAAGTGGGGAGTTATATTCTTTCATATTAGAAATACATTTAAAAGTGGATACTGTGTAGCTAAAATAATTACAACAATAAAAATGATAGGTGAGGCAATTTTAAAACCTCTTCCCTAAACTATAAATCGAGCTTTGTCTACAAAGTAATACGTTCTGTACAATTTCCCTCTCACTTGCAATAAGATAAATATCCCCTGTATTTCTCATGCCACGTGTTACAGACAGTGATAAACATTCGGTGATCTCCCCTCTCCAAGCACGTGGGATTGGTGCCAGGTCTGGCCGCTGTGATGGCGGTGCCACCTTCCCGTCCCCTTGCCGCGTGCCCGGTGTGCAGTGTGGGTGGCTGCAGCCTCCCGCTGCCTCGCTCCCATGCTTTGCTGTGTGGAGAAGGGTAGGAGGAATGTGCGAAGGTGGTGGTTTCCATTCATCTGGCTAAGCGGGCAGTGCAGTGGGGCTGGCAGGACGTACCGTACGGCCCGCGTGTCCCAACGGGGTTGCGCCAGCACTGGGACAGATCGTTCACACTGCGGGACCGCTGCGGAACGGGGCGCAGGCGGACGAGTTTGGGCCTAGGCAGGGTTGATGAGGAGCTGCCTACTATCACAAAGGAGAAGAAGCCTCATTCTCCGGCTGGAACCTCATGTTAAAGTTTATTTGTCTCTACCAGTACTCTTTGCTGCTTACACAGCTCATTGTAAGCACATTAATTTTCACATTACGGAGAGGCTGTATTTCTGCAAACTCCTACAGCACAGTGCCTGAGGCTTTTAACTTAATTGATGCTTGCTAGATGAGCTAGCTAAGAAACATACCAAACATCAACTAAAGGTAATTTACAGAAAGTACAATTAATTATTTCAGTGTTGCCAACCTCAGGTGCTCAAGAGAGAGTCACGCATTCCCAAGAATAGAAGTTATTATTTTATTTAGAAAATTACTTTGGGGCTCTTATTGTGCATTCTGTTTCTCAGCCTTCAGGAAACACTAAGGTCAACTGGTCTCTTTTTCCTGCGACTCTGGAGGTTAGAGTTTCTTAGGTGTCTCACGAGTCCCGCAACTGGAACTTTTAGGAGAGAAAAATGCTAGGAGGCAGGTGATAACATTGTGAGAATTGGCAACACTCTTATTTCCATCAGACTAGGACAAAATCATTGTCGCGTAGCAGGAGAGCAGGATCTTTCATCTTAACTAAGATAGGCTGACATGGTACTGTACCTCGGAAACCTTGGGCCTGCATAGGCTTTGTTCCAAGTTCTGCGTTGGGCATGTTATGCTGCTGTAGTTTCCTTTTTGCTTCTAGCACAGGGTTTTCAAATTGTGTTCTTCTATTTATGTGGCTGGAAAAAATTTGGTTTTGATTAAAAATTGGGTTCAGTTGGGGAAAATGATTATTTTCACAGTAGGATGTGACTTAGGTGTGTGTGGTTAGATAGCGAAACTGTCATGAAACCCCAATGGGCCTGAGCATGTCCCTTATACTCTGCATAATTTTTGTAGGGATGAGAAATGCACAATCTATGCGCATAAAATAATGAACAGCATTGGAAAGTGCCTTATCATTTCAATATGCTGAACTCTGCTACAGGCAAATGGTTTTGATCTATGGGACTACATGGTAAATTGCAGTACTGCTGAAGCGTGCTACAACAACAGTTTCTCATGTCTTTAGTACAAACACTGTTCTGTGCATGATTCAAAAGGGACTGAACCAATATTTTTTCATTGTTATTGATTAGCTGTAAATAAAATTACTTACAGAAAAGGTAAAACCTGCCACACAGAGGGTTTTAATGATCACTGCTTAAAAAAGAAATATATGTAGCATAGGAAAGTAACTGAAGATTATTTCTTTTTAATTCTATTTTATGTACCTGCTAAGCTGTACAGAAAAACAGGACGTTTCAGAAACTAAGTCAAGTGCTAGATTAAAACTATATGCATAAATAATGAACTGTAGAATGTTACCATTGTACACCTTTTTTTTTTTCACCTTAAAAAAAAAAGTATTACATTTCTTGTAGCAAGTCAGGAAATACATCTCTCGTTACATCACTAATTTTCTTTATTTTGCTTGGAACTACTATCTTAACTACTTACTCTAATCTTATCCTCGATTTTAATACTTTAACTTAAAGTGTATATTTTACCAATTAACAAATAGTCCTACAATTCTGTTACATGTTTCTCACTTTTTCTGAAGAAGTCAAGGGGATTTAGGAGGAAGTATCGAACAATTCTAAAAGATAAGGTCATGATAGGATCACAATTAAAAAAAAAAGTTTTATGCTGCAGATAGTGCTCTGGGGAAGTAAATACACAATGCAAAATAAGGTCTTAAACACATCAGTCCTTATTTGTTCTTACTAAGCTACTCTGTACTAATCTTTTTCTGCAAAGTCAATCCTGATCATGGGCTTTAAGCACTTGGAGAGGTGACCTGAGAACTTCTGAGATCTCAAAATGGGTTGAATTCCTTCTATTTATTTTGAGATGATCTTTTATGCCCAAACATTAAGCATTACTCAGGTCCTTCAGGATTCAGATCCTAACATTACTACAAAATGAGTGGAATTGACATAAAGAAGGAGTTGAAGGAAGTCATTAAGTCCTAAGGGAGAGTATTATTCTTGGAAAACAAAGATTAATGCAGTGAGAAGATACTTTGATTTAATGACAGGAAGAATATATTATAAATTCTGGAGTCGCTACTTTGTTAACATGGCTATCTCTCATTCAAGTGGCAGCTATATCACTCGTACTGTAAAATTTTGATTAATAGCTTTCTCATAAATATTAAACTATACTGCAAAAATAGAAGATTCTTTTTGATTCTTTCCTTCTTTATACTGACTGATTAAGATTGCAGGCTTTGCTTTCCTAGGCTTTAGACCTTGCTGGAATTGTCAGGGTCATTTTTCATCACCTTTGTCTATTGCAAACCTAGATACGTATGATGGAAGAGAGAGAAACTCATCAGTTAGAAATGAAGGAAGACAAGACTCACATGCATTAAATGATCATAGGATAATTGTGAAATACCAATATGAGCATGAAAATGGTAGTTTTCATCTACTATCTATAGCGTGATGTATTCCAGTACTACAAAAGAAATACTACTTTTGTTGTTACAAAAGGAAATTGTGAAACACCATGTGAAATACTAGATGAAGTTCTGATCTCCCAGGATAAAATAAAATGAATCCACAACAAAGGTTTTTACAGGAAGACCAGTGAAAGAGTGTCCTATGACAGAACACCAAAGGAGTTCTGCTTTTTTATTCAAGTGGAATGAATGCTGATATATAGTTGCATTTTGTGAATATTTGGAAGTAAACAGTAGTATATATTAAAAATGTTGGAATTTCAGTCATGAAATCTTTAGGCTTCTTTCAAGCAGAAGTGTGAAATTATGAAACAATAGCATATATAGGATAAAAGTCTAGCTTGTTTTATGATGGCATTTGATAAGACTGAAAACAGTTTTCTACACAGGATATTGAATTAGTTGCCTAAAATAAGGGATCAAACTCTATTTTAGAGGCTCTAAAATATCCTATCTCAGTCCTCAGCTGCCCTTCCAGAAGACCATGGCGCTCCTATAACCTTTGTCTCTTACAAACTTACATGTGATTAAAAAAGAGGGATTTTACCTAATACAGGATGTGTCAATGGCTCATGGAAAATCAGCTTCTGTGATACTGCCACAACAGCTAGAATTTCTTATCAGCTGCCTCTCAGCAGTTTCTAGTAGGAGCTGGAGTTGTGGTTTAGTATATTTAGACAGAAATGTTTTCTGTAATAGCTATCTTGAAAATGACCTTTTTGTTCTAACATATCAGACAGGAGGACTAGCAGAGATACTTGAGGCACCTCAGGGTGTTGATGCAATCTCAGTAATTCTTAACTCCAATTTATTTTCCTATTTTGACTGTTTTATAGTAGAGTGCCATTTCAAAAACACACTGTGAAAATTCCATCAAATTCATACAGCTGTGTATTATATTGGGCCCAATAAGAGCCAAAAAAAAACCAAAACCAAAAACCCCAACCCAAAAAGAATCTTATACATAAAATCAGTCCTTTTTATCAGTTACACTGGATCTATGCTCCTAGACTGATGAGACAAGAAGCACCTCCCTATCGTGCAATTTTAAGTGCTCTACAGCTCCATGGCTAAATCAGAAAAATTGCTACTGATGAGTTTAGCTGAGAATGAAGTTATTAAGCTAAGTACTTTCCTTGAAAGGAAGGACATTCTAAGCTTTCATCTGGGTACTTCAACTGCATACAAAATAGGTATTACTGAACTAGGCCTTAATAAGACAATCTAAATGTGAGTTTTAGAGATGGTTACAAATAAGTGCTTCGGTGTTTAGTTGTATTGCTCATTGCCCTCAGCATCTAATTCAGTGAGCATTTCTCTCTTGTCTTGAAAATTTTATTTCGTACTCTTCCTATCTAAAAATCCCATCTCTGCTATTCTCCTAACTGGGGTCCAGAAGGAAGACTGGGGACTGCCTACCTAGAGGAATGTAACTAATCCACACCTGTGGAATAAGACTTCTCATCAACTTCTGTAAACAGTTTTTTTTTTTTTTTTCTCCTCCCTCTGTCCCCTCTCATAATTATTTTTTGGGTCCTGATTCAACTTTATTTTATACTATGAATATTAAATGTAAAAGCCTTATCCAAAGATAAAAATCCTATTCCAGAGATAGAATTCCACATAAAAAAAATTCCAGAGAAGAATCATGCTGCATTTTGCTCACTTTCTGGCTCCAGGAACCCCGATCATCTCCCTGCACAGAAAAACGAGCAGTCAGCACTACTGTTAGCCCACAGCATGCAAGCTGTAGGGTTTGGGCTGCTTTTAACTGCAAAACTGAAATAGTGAATTTTGTGTCATGAGGAGTATGGTCAGCACCAGATATCCTGGAAACATGTGCATCAGCAGAAGGATTTTTGCCTATTCTTCTCCTTAGCTACTTTAATGGATGGTTGTTTATTAGTAGTTTGTGGTTAAAAACCCAACAAAGCAGTTCTGAGGATCAGGATGCCTACAAGACAGAAATTCTGATGGATAATTTATTATCGAGTCTTCTTTACATTCACATTTTTCAGTCACTACTATTTTATGACAACAAAAACAAACTCTGGAAAGGTTTTCTTCTTGAGTAATAACAGAACATTGTCAGAAATTGTAAGTTAAGGTGATACATTTTTCTAGAATAAATACCTGTACGGCCAATTTAGCTGTTCTATTACAGAGGCTGTGTCAGGAAATTGAACTCTGTGTTGTGGTTAATCATCCTTAAAGGGGGAAATAATCTTTTGTCAATTAGAATGCTGAAAGACCCAGTGCACTTTAACAACCACATTCTCTCCATAGCCTTGTGCAGATAAGTGCTGCTAGCTCTTAGTTTATAAATTAAGAGAGAATGGCATTGAAGTTAACCCAGGTATACCAAACACTTCTCATTCATGTGAGATGTCTACACCTTACAAATGAAGCTCAGATCTTCATAACAAGCCAAATTAAAATTTTAATAGTGTCTTGAACTTACATTCATGCATGATTTATGTGATGAAGTTATACTGGGGACCTGATTTTTCAACAGAATTTGCAAATACGGTATGATAAATCTTAGTTAACTTTGCCAGCAGGTCCTTTTTATTTTCTTTGTTTTTGTTTGCTTGCTTGTTTTTCACATTATCTCTTGGTCTCAGGTTCTGCAACTGAGGATAGCTGACTCACATAAAGTGAACCTGAATCTCCCTGCTCCACTGTCCTTCCTTACAGTCCTCCCATGTGATACAGATGAGTCAGTGAGTGGAATATGAGCCCTTTCTTCACTGACAGTTTTAAAGGCCTGCATATAAACTTGAACTGGACTTGAATGTGAGAAAGTTCATAACACAGATTTCCATGATTTACCCCACTATTATGAGATAATTAAGACGGTTTCATGTTAACTGATTGTATCTAGTTAAAAATGAACTAATCCATTGAATACTGGTAATAAAAAAGGAGTAACTTCTACTTTTTAGAATGAAAAACGGGAAGCAATTTTTGTTTCAAACTTATTGAGCTCAGACAGCAAATTAAAGTACAACTGTGTTTTACTGACTATAAAACTCCTTATGAACTTAGCATGGCTGCATGTTTAATGCCATCCTGTGAACATTTATTCCACTTCTTAAATCCTCTGAGCCTACAAGTAGGTTTTATATATCTTTCCACAAATCTTATCTGCAGTAGGATGAAGAAACCTGGCAGTAACGGCCTTGAAATATGTAATTGCTTGATAACATCTGCGTTGAGTACTTTGTGTCTATTCACCTGTGGATGGACATGAAATGGGGATGAATATACTTGCTCCTTACGCAGGGGAAGTGTGAGCCTCACCACTGCCACAGTGCCTTGGGTTGCACTAATAGCAAAGGGGGCCTCAGTAAGAAATACATAGAAGTTGCACAACACCTTTTACTCACCAAAATACAGTAAAAACCACCAAGGCAGAATACACCCAGCAGCTTATAACTGTACGTGTAGAAAACTTCAGCGAGGTTAAGTACAAAGATACATAAACACCAACCACTAACTACTCTGAGGTTCATAAAGGATCTCAGGCACAATTTGATGGCATTACTTAAGGACTTACCTTTCGGTAGAGAAGAATAACGACTAAGCTGGCTTGGGCAAGCAGCAAAGCAGATGGGGTTGCTGCTCTTGCAGTTGGGGGCAAAAAGCAGCAGAGCAGATGCTACTGCATGTGGAGAGTGGGACGGAAGGACTCAGTGTGGCAGTGGCCAGACACAGTTCCCATTTGTTTGTCTGCTTTGCATGGGGGCCAACGAAGCTGCTGTTATAGCAGTGAAGAAAGGTGAATCTCTCAGACATCTTCTAACCCTTCTGAAACCTGATCTTTTTGTGATCCCTCTGTCCAGCTCTACCCTGTGCATGTTAACAGCTGCATATCCTATGGTCTGGAAAAATCTGCTGTCTTAGCATATGTCCAGAGCAATCCTGTAATCAAAGCACTGGTATGGATTCAAGATACCAAGGGAATGATGTGATACACAAATGAACATTTTCTATTCTATCTGAAATGAATAATTTTACTGCTTTGTGCCAGGATCTGAAACTGAAATTTTAGGTCAGGTACTATCCTCTGTGAAGACTCTCTTCTTCAATTAAAAAAAAGAAATGGATAGACCTTTCTCAAAACAAATGGTCTGTAAAAATGCTGTGGCTTTCTCCATCCCCTGCTATATACGTGGGCTGCTCCAAAAGTAATGCCTCCTATTTTATTATTTTGGTGGATAGATGGATATTGGTGGTATGTCAGTAACGTTTGAACTTTCCTGCCAATATTCTGTTACATTTTGTTGCTGCGAGACTGACAGCAGCAGAGGGGCAGTCTGACAGAACGCTGTTTGACATGGAAGTGCGAATGAAGCAAAGGTGTGGAGCTGAATTCCTCTATGTGGGAGAAATGGCACCCACTGACGTTCACTGACATTTGCTGAATGTTTATGGAGACCAAGCAGTGGATGTGAGCACAGTGAGGGGTGGGTGGTGCATTTCAGCACTGGCAAAAGGGATGTGAGAGACGAGCCGCATTCCAGATGGCCATGCAGATTTGCATGACTGCGGCATGCTGGCTCTTGTTCATCGCTGGTGAAAATGTAGAACTAATGGTAATGACTACATCGAAAAAGTGTGTTTTGTAGCTGAGGATTTGCTCTATCAAATAGTGTTATTATGCTCTCTGTATCTGTTGTAGTTTCCGCAGAAATAAATAGATGGCATTACTTTTGTAGTGACCTATGCACTTTGAGTAGATGCTAATAGGAGAGAAGAGAATAAAAACTGACCATTCTGAGCACGTATCACAGGTTGAATCTACAATCACCTTACATAAATCTAATTGACTCTGTTAAGCTAAATAGCATACAAAATCATCTCTCTGATTTACCTATCTTATGTGGTAACTACCTGGAACAGGCTTTCTCTATTACTTCAAACAAAAGCTTTTTATTCCCCTTCACACACAGGAGTTTCATGTTCCACAACTAAAATAAAATACGAAAAATGAATGCAAGGACTGTGTTGTGAAATAAAACATAACAGACCTAAAATTTTTATGCAGAGTGTGAAGATCTAATTTGTGAAAAGGAAAGCAGTCTTAAATGAGCTAAACTGATTATGCTTTGCTTTATTCATTGACTAATAAGATCTGCACCTCACTGGATGTCCAAATTTTACAGAATAAGTACAACGTTTATTTAATTAATACATTATTTTACAAATTCCAACTGAAATCAGACCCTCGAGAAACAGAATGACTGAGTCACTGATTTGAGACACACTGAATATATTTGGTCACATTAACTGTACTGATGACTGAGAATTCCTGGTATACCTTTAGTTTAACATTCAGTGTTTGTACCCATTTGTATCCAAATTCTGTGACTGCACCCATGTCTTGCCAGCTAAGCACTGCAGAGGATACTAACATTACATTATGACATATTAACAGCAACTTAATATTGAACTTGGGAACTTACTCAACATAATAAGTGCCATAAATGGGATCATCAATTTTCTCCCAGCCATATGGAAGCTCTGAAAAACAAAGATTTATCTCTCTCAGTAAATGAAATACAGAATGCTTCGATTTCTGATAGTAAAATTGCAGTTCTTTGCTGGATGTTGAGGGAAATAACTGGATAGTGAGGTCAGATAAAGTCACTAAAGCAAATGCCAAACATTGAACACACACCAGGGTGACCACAAGTAGCAGTAACTAGAAAACTGGCATGCAAACAAAGATCTCAGTCTTGAGAAAAACACATTTTAGTTGAACTACTTTACTGTTCCAACAGCTGTGCCAGCCAACAACAGTAGCATATCTTGTATGACATCACTGCAAGAGGAAGTGAGGGATTTTTTTTCCTTCCAAACAGACACACAAACACTCATATAGACACACACAAGCACTTTGCTTTTTGAACTTTTTTTTTTTTTCTTTCCTATGAACCCTAGATATGTTGGTCTAGAAGAAAGGAAAAGAGTTTAACTCCTGTCGCTTATGTATAAGAATATCTAAATGCTCCAGAAAGGGTTGTTCTATTTGTCTTACTATGATGGCAATTCCACGGTCTTCAAAGTTGTGCTATTGCAAAGCTTAGTTATATATCAGAGAGACATCATGGTACATAGAAATACACGGAAGTGTAAACCAAAATAAGGTATTTTAACATCTGCCAGCCTTAACACTTGAAGTAGAGAAGACATCCAGATATTAACAATTATTAAATACACTAATGTAATGATCTTGAAAGTGCTAAGATAGCAGGGCCAGTATCCTGGACACAGTGGGCAGAGAAGCCAGGCAGATGTTGGATCCAGATCTGCCAAGAACTTCAGTAAATTCTGTAGGAAACTATCCCTGCACTGGTTCCCACAGTCCTGTATATCCTGGGACAGATCTTGGGATGTAATTCGTAAACATTCAAAAAGAAAGCTGCAAATCTTGTACTGCCCCTATAGTAAATTTAATTCCTAGTGTAGTCCTCTTCATGACGTAGAATAAAATATTAGTTTAAATACTACAAGCCCACTTTATTGTAATGTAATATTGCACAGTTTTGTTTTGCTTTTTTTCATCTAATTAACTTCATGTTTCTTTTGTATCTGTCCACCTAAAATTCACCTAGTGCTGTAGGCACTGATAAATTCCATGCAAAATCAGAAATACACAAACATGCACATTGACACACACACAGAAATGTGTGCCTACATCCCTTTTCCAAGGTGAGTTAGTACATGGAGCTTGTTTCAGCTATGCAACTAAAAAAAAAAAAACTTAGCTGTTCTGTGAAAATTTAAAATTAGGTATTATATTTCTGTAAATATATACTTTAAAGTGAACAGTCTCAGAGGATATTTTACATATTTATAAAAAACCCAAAATACTTTGAGAATTTACTGTTAACATATTGGTCTATTTTTCCCTAAAGAAATGATGCATAACATCATAACAGAGTATGGACTGAAAGAGTCGTGAGAATGCAAACGCCAAGTCCAATTTTCTAGTGTAAAAGTCTGTAAAAATTTAATGAATTGCAGATATTGTGGAGAACCCACTTTTAAATGCATGGGTTGAACCACTGATTATCTAACATCATGAAATACTCACGGGTTCAGAAGAAAGGAAATAAAAGAATACCTTGATGTATATGATGGATACTAACTCCATGTGAGGCTATGCTCTGATTTTATTTTTCCAATGGTGATGAAGCCTGTAGAGCTCTATTTCATTTCAAAATTCTGTGCTGACGAGTAAAAATAAATAGCTACAAGACAAAGCCCAAGCCCCCTGCTAAAGTATGGCAGATCGGGTTAGCAGAGTATAGTTTACTACAGGGCTTCTGACGAAAGAACCTTCTGCTACATTTGCTTTCAGAAGTGCTCTGATTATTTTTCACGACATAAAGTAGTGGCATCTATTCCATTTTTCACTGTTGAAATGAAAGATTACAGGACAGGAATACTTTATTGCCTCATCAAATAGGAAGCAAAGTGTTTGCCAAATTGAGGGTGAGGGCATGCATTGCATTTTCTCTTTTTCAGTTCACTGTGTCCAATGATGATCATTAAGGATGAGAGTGATCAGTAAACGTTAATAAAAGGAGATTACTGTTGGCCATCATGATTTTAACTGGGAGGGAGCAGTAGTTTACAGATCTCTCTGATATTCATTTGATAGCTCTAGCACAAAGCATTCACCTATAATTCCTGCAGCCAACAGCTTCACGGTTACTATGTCTTCATTTTCATGGACTTAACACTTCTGTCATTCAAGTCTTCAAATTCTACTGATTGCAGTAGAATTTCTTCATAAAGCAAGGAAAAAAACTTTATGCTTTATTTTGTATTTGATATTATATTCTCACATACCCCCCCCCATATCATCCATTTGAGGCCCTCTTCTTGAGCATTTGTAGAATCACTATTTAAAAATCAGTAAAAGGTTTTACAGCATTTGGCAATGCTGATACTACAAGTGGATGGAAAGATGCCGGATAATCTGTATAGAATGTATATATGCTCCAGATTTTTGCATTTCATATCCCTCACGAGAGAAGCAGCATCTAGCTGGCACTGCAGCAGTCATCCAAAAAAAGATCAAAAAGGCAGAGCTGACACTCAGATACTTTGCTCAGTATGCATCTGGGTAGGCTTTTAAATGCAGAAGGAGCTGTACTTCTGAAAGTTAGATGCCCAGTGTTAACAAAGGCCCTTGTATCTTCAAAGAAAGATAGAAAGAAGGAAGGAAAATAAGAAGGAAAAAAATAAAGGAAAGACTAATGTAAATTCAAACAGGTCATTTTAATAATCAGTGGCAGTGCCTTTTCATCACAGCCTGCTTATGTTAATGGTCCAGATGCTCTTATTCTGCCTTCTGAAGGCTGTTGTGTTTCAGAATAATTTTTGATGGTGCCACTTAATCTTCTCTGTGGATAGAGGAAGGGATACATTTTAGATCTTGATGTGCCAAGATGAAAAAAACCAAACTAACAAACCCAGAGATCAATTTTCCTAAAGTTAATGTATTACTAACTACATTACAGAATCATAAAAACCTTTCGGGGTTTCAGAACAACAGCCAGCATTGTGTCACTACCCTGCAGACAGGCTGGAAAGAAACATGAGAGCATATTTCTGGAATCAGTTGTAATCAAAATATTTATGTAGTAAAAAGAAAGTGTAGTATGAGAGAGAAAAAAAACTCCATTGTAAATACTGTCAAAAAGGATGTGGAAAAGTTTGGGTCATCTGCCCCGCCTTGTTAACACCCATGCACAGGTAAGGAGACACCTAACCTAAATATGATACTTTTCAGAAAAATGCCACACCTTTCCATTCGACAGCCTGTGTTTGCTTTATTTCTTTTTCCTCCCTCCTCCTTTCTTCTCTGTTCTTTTTCCTAATTTCAAATTCATTTTTTGCCTTTTCAAGTAAGCTCCCTCCTACAGAAAGTAACAAATGATTTGGGTTAAAAGTTAAAAAATACAGTGCCACTCCAAGGCTCACTGCAGTTGCACACTCTTCCAGTTTCCTTAAAAGATAAAGACTTTGCAAACATTTATCTGTGAGCCTGAGCCAGCGGTCCTCATCTCTTGGCTTACACAGAAACATGCAGCCTGCCATACCCTCCAGCACAACACGCGGCTTACCAGGGAGTGGGTGCTGCTCAGGGGGTGCTGTGCTGCAGGAGCAGAGGGCTGGAGATCTCTGGTTTGAATGCTCCCCTGTCTACACTGCCAAGCTGATATGCAAAACAGATACAGAAAATAAGTCTTATGAGGAGCAGCTGAGGGAACTGGGATTGTTTAGTCTGGAGAGGAGAAGGCTCAGGGGAGACCTTATGGTTCTCTCTGCAACTGCCTGAAAGGTGGTTGCAGAGGGGTGAGGGTCAGCCTCTGCTCCTGCATAATAGGGATAGGACAAGAGGGAATGGTCTCAAGTTGCGACAGGGAAGACTCAGGTTGGACATTAGGAAACATTTCTTCTCAGAAAGAGTGGTGAGGCACTGAAATGGGCTGCCAAGGAAGGTGGTGGAGTCACCATCCCTAGAAGTGTTCAAGGAACTTTTAGATGTACTAAGGGACACGGTTTACTGAAGATACAGTGGTGATAAGTAGACAGCTGGACTAGATGATCTTAGAGGTGATTCTATAAATCCGGCTGCCGCTCCTGAATACTTCCCTAATAGGCTGCCATAAGAAAACAGAGGATAAATTGCTCACTGAAAGTTGGTATTTAACCTAATATTCACATAGCGATGTGAATTCTGGTAGGAAACATCGCTGCATAACATATGAGAACTCTGGAAACCAACCAGCCAGCAACAAAAAGCATTTACATGCTACAGTAAAATTTTTGCTTCAGCACTGGTTCCTCCGCTCAGCCATGTTTCAAGTGTCACTGCCTGAAGCTGAAAAACGCAATCGCTAACATGGATTTCTCTACGCCAGCACACAGTTCAAAAGCCACGAGAGACATACATTAGATAAAGAAGTTAGTTAGAATTGTTCAGCGTCTCAGGGAGAGCAGCAACAACGGCAGGATGGATAACCTCACCGCCATAGCAAAAACAAATTCAGTCTAACTATCAGGAAAGACCTAGAAAGTTAAAGCACAGTGCACCAACTCCAAGCCATGTCAGCTCAACTGCAATTAAATTAGTGTTCTCCAACTGCCATTCTCATACCAGCAAGTTTCACAATATCATCACTGTTTATGTTCCGTCTGTAATCACAAACCATTCATGTGCAATTTGTTCTCATGAATAAAATGACGTTATGCATAATTTATTCCTGCACAATGGAAACAAAATGTCTAAGTAACATTCACATCTGATAAATGCATCTTCTTCCTTGTGTGCGGCGCATTGTGACATGCTAGATCCTTAATTATGCAGAACGTAGACTACTAAATATTACCCTCATTTCAAAAATACTTTCTCCCAGGATTGTTACCACGTGAAGCACTGCCAACAGTGGGGATATTTTTAATGTTAGCTGATCCTTCTGATGTGCAGACTTGTAGATCTACTA